CCTGTAACTGGGCACGTTAGAATCACCTGGAGTTGTGGTCCCCAACCTTTTTGGCACCAGGGACCGGTTTCATGGAAGACAGTCTTTCCTCGAATCCAGGAGGAAGACGAGGTTTGGGAACGATTCAAGCACATTACATCTCCACCTCAGATCATTAGGCATTGGATTCTGGGAAGGAGACGCAACCTGGATCCCTCATGTGTGCAGTTTACAGTAGGTTCTCACGCCTGTGAGGTGATGCTGCACTGATCTAACAGGAGGTGAAGGTCAGGTGGTGATAAGAGTGATAGGAGTGGCTGTAAATACAGATGAAGGTTCACTTCCTCCCCACTCACTGCCTGCCGTGCAACCCAGTTCCTAACAGGCCATGGACTGATACCAGTCCACAGCCTCAGTGTTGGGGACCACAGACCTGGATCATCTGTTAAGCACTGATATTTCTAGGCTTCAGTTCATACTTATTAAATCAAAATCTCTGAGCATAACACCTCAGATCATCTGATGGGTAGTAACTGTAGGAGCCACTGCTTCGGAGTGCATTTATGCCCTTACCCCATCATTGTTTGAATGTATAATTAAGGTAGGATTTTTTAAATCTAAAAGGTGATTTAAAAGGGTGAGAACCCCCCCCCTTTAAAAACTCTGTATTTATGCTTATGTTAGGAAAATTGGTACTCAAAGACAGGACTGCTCCATTCTTACTTGCTAAAAAAATTAATGTCTCTTTTCTTCCCCCCCCCCCAAAAAAATAAATAAAAGTTGATTTAGATTTAGTTGGTGCTAAATTGTACTTCTACCATTCTGGTAAATTCTTGGAGCGCAGCAGATTTTGAGTATCATCAGAAAGCCCTGTAGATCAATCTGAGTAAGAATACCTGAAAAACTCATCTTGGAAGAGTGGGCATGTGTAATCACGTGAGACATTCCTTTCCTGATACCCTTAGAACAAGACAGCTGTGTCCAAAGAGGTGGCACATCGGATTTCTAAAGGCTAGAGAAGTGATTAGACTGGTATTTATATTCAGTGGAATCTAAAATTTAGCTTTATAAATTTATTTATACAAATTATTCCAATGGTCAAAACATTCTCTACTTAATGACGGTATAAATTAAGAGCCAGCCAGAGTTCTAGGCACTATTATCAGAAAGCATCTGAAAATATTATTTTTTATTCTACTATTACTAGTTTGGGTTCTTTTCCTCAATAACTAAAGTGTATCCTTTTAGATGGTGACTTTTAAAAATTATTATCATGGTTATTACTTTTCTTGAAACAGAGACTCACTTTGTTACCCTCAGTAGAGTGCTATGGTGTCTTTTGCAACCTCAAACTCTTGGTCTCAAGCAATCCTCTTGCTTTAGCCTCCCAAGTAGCTGAGATTACAGACGTCCACCAAAACACCCAGCTGTTCTTTTTTCTCTTTCTAGTAGAGCCAGGGCTTGCTCTAGCTCAGGCTGCTCTCAAACTTCTGAACTCAGGCAATCCGCCTGCCTTGGCCAGCCAGACTACTAGGATTACAGACGTGAGCCACTGTGCCCAGTCCTAAATTATTAATTGTTATTGGACATACCATTTTTTAATTGCCTGAGTTTACCCCCAAATAAGTGACCTTTTGTAGCTGTTAACGTTTTATCAGTCACATCATTTGTTGGCAATTATCAGCTTTGTGGAGATTTATCAAAGCAGCTCCCATTTCTACTTCTAATCTGGTTTCTGCAATAAATACACGAGGGACCAAAGGTCACTAGGGTAAATTCTAAATTTTTAAAAATTATATATTGACGTTATTGTTACATACATTCATGGTGTTCAAAGTGATGTTATGATTTTTATACAATGTGGGGTGATTAAATCAAGCTGATTAACCTATCACCTCATAAATTTGACAATTTTTTTGTGATGAGAACATCACAAAAATTTAACCAGTTGGATGAAAATATTTCACATTGTATACAGAAACAGTACACTGTACCCCATTATAGTATTAATGTACACTGCTATGATTTAATAAAAAAAAAAGAAAAAACAGCAAAAAAAAAAAAATTTAAATCCTCAACTTGTAAACTGAACTATCATAGTTGCAGATCTTCAAAATGAAATACTTGGGCTTTATTTCTCAATTGCCCAAGTGATCCTTCTGCCTCAGTCTCCCAAACAGCTAGGAAGGACCGCAGGTTTGTATAACCCTGCCTAGGGGATTTTTTTAAAAGTTTTTTGCAGAGAATGGATCTCACTATGTTGCCCAGGCTGGTCTTGAATTCCTGGCCTCAAGTATTCCTCTTGCTTCAGCTTCTCAAAGTGCTGCGATTACATGGCATGAACCGCTGTTCACAGCCTAAGTAGCTTATAGTGTGCCTTAACCTTAAGATTTTGGCCAAAAAATGTTTTTTGCAAAAATAACTTTTGCATTTATCTCTTAAATTGAAGACAGTAAAAGTACCTTGTAATTTGTATAATTGGTCCAGTATTATGGGGCTTCAATTAAAACTTCATTGGCTCTAAGACCCTTGACTTTTAATTATCTTTGCGTAGGATATTCACTCCCAGACCCAGATGGGTCGTTCAGTAACGCTATGAAATTGAGTAACAATGAAGCACAAATAAAAGCAACTCTGATGAAATTGAGGGGGGTGGTAGGATGAGGGAAAAGTATATAAGCAGCACTGCATGGCTTTTAAAGAGAAAATACTTTATCACAGAAGAGAAGGGGTTTAATAAAAATCTGCAATAGATTCACAAAGGGACTTTTTGTGAAAGACCAATATTAATGACCTTGGGTTCTTAAAAGTAGGAGCAAGTTGGCTGATGGAGGGGTATAACTTTTCCATGTCAGTGCTGTGTCTAGACCAGTGGTTTTCAGTCGGTTTGCCGTGAGAGGATCTTAGGTGTGCCACGAACTTTTTAAAGATCATTAATTAAATTACTTTCAAAAGAAGTTCAAAGCACAGGAAGTATTCTTTTTCTTTTTTTCATCAACATAATTTAAGTGTGCTGTAAGATTAAAAAAAGGTTCAAACACACTGGTCTTGACACACAGCACCAAGAATTCAGAAACAGAAAGACAACATCTTTGAAATGATTGCAGTGGCGCCTTTATTGAGTGAACGTGAGATATCTTTCACTGGTCTGAGAATTCAAACTATCATTTTTGATGGAGGATTTAAAAGAAAATTGCCAATTTAAGAACCAGGGTAAGCTCTTTGCAAGTTTAGAAAGGAAATCTCAGTTGTTGACCTACAATCTTGACAGATTTGAGAAACTTAGATCCTGAGGAGTAGAATCTAAAGGATGAAATTGTGATAATACTATTACGTTGGGGGCACTGAGTACAACCTGCAACAGTAGGTCCTCAGGAATTCTCATCTCTGGCTTTAATACAACACAGGAGAACCTCCATAGTTGACCAGCACCCTACATTGACCACCTCCTTAAGTTGACCTAATTTTCATAGGCTGGACATGCACCACATGTGCATGTACATATCAGTACAGTTAGCCTAGGTCCTTACGTTGACCCACCTCCATGTGTTTACCAGTTTGTTACAGTCCCTTGGGTGGTCAAACTTAGAGGTTCTGCTGAACTATGTGTTAATTTTATCTGAAAGTGACACAAGAGCTGTATGACTTTTGGGTTTTCAGCTGCTACAACTGTTTCCATGTCAGAAATGTGGATAAGTAATACATAAATGCCTAACATTTTGGTGAGGCTTTAACGTTTGGGAAATACCTTGTGTAATAGATAGCAGTCTGATTACAATGGCTTATTACTCAGAAAACCATGGGAAGAGCAAATGAAAGTATAAGTATGCTTTAAGTAGTTCTAGCAATTAAGGATAATTGTTCTTTGCCCCTTTGGAAATCTGATCAGTTGGTCTGAAGTGAAGGGTCAGGGTGGGAGATAGGAAGGAAGAGGAACAGGTGCAGTGCTGTGAGTTGGTGAGAGCTGCCTCGCTCTCTATAAAGCAAGTTGGTGGGGAAGCTTCTTCCTTGTATATGTGAGAAACACTGTCAGCTTCTGGAAGAGGGCTACCTGTACTATGTGTGACCTTGACTTCAACTTATGAGTTGAAAAGTGGATGATGGGTGGAGCGGTAGCCAAGGTATGGCCATGACTTGATTACGGGGAGACTGAAGGACAGGAAGGAGAGCACCACTGTGCAGAGCTGTCCCAGAGCACCAGGATGCCCTTTTCTAGATCACTGGTCCCATTAAGATCTTAGGACTTAACCCATCTGATGGTGCACAGTCTGCTTCTCTACATCTCTCTCTCCATAAAACAACAATACAAGAGGGACACTTTTTTAATGGAAATTTTACCCATTTATTTAAAATAATATTATTATAAATAGTCCTGAAGTATAGAAAAAACCTTTTTAAATGTTCTGAGACTTGTCTTGGCTCTGATGCCTGCAGAATGGACCAGAGTTCCTCACAGCTATGAATGGACTAAGTGGACGTGATTTCACTTAGCGTATCCCACACCACAGACGGTGTTCCTAACTAGGAAGTTTTAATGACCCTTTGATGACAGATCATTAAAAATATGTTATCTGCAGGTTCTCCTCTTTCTTACAGTGTACTTTATTAAATTTTAAAAAAACTCATAGCTTAGTTCTTTGTATTAACCTATCATTTGTGTCCCAGTTACACAAAATAAATAAGCAGATGAATTATGATCTTGTGACCAGTGTTCCATCAACATGAATTTCACCTTCATATTCTGCAGGTAGGCAGGACCAGTACAATTGTTTGGGAAGCCAGAACTGTTTAATTTTTATGATGACCAAAATAATGGTAAATACTGTATTATCTTAAGAGCAGCTTTTCGGTAATCTTTTCTCTTGTAGAAAGAAATATGCTTGAGCTTAATCAAAGCCTTATTAAATATATTGAAAAAAGGAGAAAAGGTCAATCTGATTTGATTAAAAAAAAAAAAGTGTACAAGCCTTTCTGTCTTATTTTCTATCCCCTTTCCTTTTTCTCTTTCTGTGTTTTGACAGGCCCCGATTATATCAAACAGAGACTTCAGGAAGGTGTAGATGCTAAAGAAAATCCAGAAGAAAAGGTCCCAGAAAAGCCACCTACACCAAAGGAATCTCCTCATTTTTATCGCAAAGGCACGACACCCCCAAGATCTCCTGAGACAAGTCCCAAACAGAGTCACTCTCCCCCGCCTTCCCCAAAGCCCATGAAGAAGCAAAACCCCAGTTCAGGGGCAAGACTCAACCAAGACAAAAGGAGTGTGGCTGATGAGCAGGTGATGGCCGTTGTCAATAAGCCCTTGATGTCAAAGGCTCCCTCGAAGGAGGCAGGAGCAGCCGTACCCCAGTCCAAGTACTCTGGCCGCCACTATGTCCCCAACCCCAGTAATGGGGAGCTGCATTCTCAGTATCACGGCTACTACGTGAAGCTTAATGCCCCCCAGCACCCTGCAGAAGATGTGGAGGACGGTGACGGGTCGAGCCAGTCTTCCTCAGCACTGGTGCACAAGCCATCTCCTAACAAGTGGAGTCCCTCCAAATCTGTGACAAAACCAGTTGCCAAAGAAAGCAAAGCTGAGCCAAAAGCAAAGAAGTCTGAACTTGCTATACCAAAGAATCCAGCAAGCAAAAATTCGTGCCCTTCTTTGGAAAAAGAAGCCAATTCAGTAAGTCTTGCACCGAGTGTGCTTCCTTCCTCCCCCTTGGCTCTTTCAGGGGGCAGCATCCATAGCTGTGCATCTCCAGCACAGCCAGCCTAACCAAGGCTGTGGGGCACAGGGTTGTTGAGAGTAAACCCGATCAGGTTTGTAAAGAGCTCGCCAGGCAGAAATCCCTCCGTGTCCACTCAGCCACCCATCTTCGACTTCATTCAGGTAGGCAAGACCGGACCAGCTTTAGTATCATTGTGCAGCAAGGCTTTATCTGCACTTCATGGGAATGTACTGTTATTGTGAGGAAGGAATCAGGGCCCCTGCTCAGGGCACTCCCAGAGCTCCAGCTAGGAGGAGGACATCACCAAGTCCTTAGCCTACATGCCTCACAGTGTTCAGGATCTTTACACACACAAAAGTCTCTTGTGAATTCTTCTCAGAAGTGTACTTAGCTGGGTTTTTTTTTTTTTTTTTTT